TCCAAGGTCTTTACCTACTTGTTAAGGAAGGCAAATTAAAATGCCACTTCATGATACCCCCTACCAACCTCCGAAAGAAAAAAACTGAAAAATACTCAGAAGTCGTCAGAAGTAACAGCAACCTCCATAATAATGCACAGCAGCCAACATTTCCCCAGAAATCTAGATGGGCTCCAGAAACCCAACCACTGCCAAGTCATCAGAGAAGTTTCTCTTTGTTTGTCGCCCGCCCATGACCGTACCTTGTTTTGTTTTTTAACATTCAAACATAGGAACCTTAGGTCTCAGAGCTTACCCTGACACTAAACCCCAAGAAATAAAAGAATGACGGCCATTATACGGAATAATTTCAAATGAGAAACAGACCCGTCATCCTTTTTCTTTTTTTTGTTTTTTTTTTTTTTTTTTTTTGTTTTTTTTTTTTTTTTTTTTTTGGTTTTTTTTTGAGACGGAGTTTCACTCATGTTACCCAGGCTGGAGTGCAATGGCACGATCTCGGCTCACCGCAACCTCCGCCTCCTGGGTTCAGGCAATTCTCCTGCCTCAGCCTCCTGAGTAGTTGGGATTACAGGCACGCGCCACCATGCCCAGCTAATTTTTTGTAGTTTTGGTAGAGATGGGGTTTCACCATGTTGACTAGGATGGTCTCGATCTCTTAACCTCGTGATCCACCCGCCTCGGCCTCCCAAAGTGCTGGGATTACAGGCTTGAGCCACCGCGCCCAGCCTCCGTCATCCTTTTTCTAACCCACAACTTAAATTGTGCACACATGGAAGATAAGACAATCAAGAGCTACTATTGAAAACACCCTCTTGAGCTGGGTGCGGTGGGGCACGCCTTTAATCCCAGCAGATCACAAGGTCAAGAGATGGAGACCATCTTGGCCAACATGGTGAAACCCCGTCTTTAAAAAAAAAAAAAAGAAAGAAAAGAAAACACCCTTGCCAGGCGTGGTGGCTCATTCCTGTAATCTCAGCACTTTTGGGAGGCTAAGACAGGTAGATCACCTGAGGTCAGGGGTTCAAGACCAGCCTGGCCAACATGGTGAAACCCCATCTCTTCTAAAAATACAAAAATTAGCTGGGCGTGGCAGCTGAGGCAGGAAAATCACTTGAACCCAGGACGTGGAGGTTGCAGTGACCAGAAATTGCACCACTCTAGCTTGGGTAACAGAGCAAGACTCCGTATCAAAACAAAACAAACAAACAAAAACAAGAACACTCTCTACCCTATAGGTGCCCCTATCTGCAGGACCCGAGGGCACCTTCCAAGTGCCAGGTACCCAGATGGCCAAGTATCTGGTCAACACATGCGTAATCCTGCCGACAGTGTCTCCCATTAGTGGAATTCTAGGCAGCACATACCTTCAGACACCTGATGGGGTTTCTTTCAGTGCAACCAGGAAAAAGAAAAAAAAGGAAGCATTTCGTCTTCTGTCAGAGGGCCAAGACATCAGTGACACCATGTGCCTCCACAGCCAGTGTGCCACAGTAGCACAGGGCAGTGGGAAAGGGAAGGTGGTCCTCGCTAACATGGGGCTTGAAACAAAACCCACCCTGGGCCACGAGAAGCGAGGGTCTGCCGACCTAATGTCAAAGGGCACAGCACCCTCTTTCACAAGTAAGCAAGAGCGTCAGGGGAAATCCACAAGGGAACCAATGCTAGTAGGATCCTCTTGAGGGGACCTGGTTTTGGCCACAGCATCAGCTCAGGTGTTGGGAAGAAAAACTCATTACGGTGCACCAGACCCAAGGAGCTGAGTGCAATATCTAGACTTCCAGTGGGGATGAGGAGAAAGAAGAACCACGCAAGTAAGAAGCACTGCTTGTGACTCACTTCAGTCCTTGGTTGACTTTGGGGCATTTCCAGAACATTGTCTGCGTTGCAACTCGGCACAGCTCCTACAAAAGCCAAACTCTATTCCAAAAGCAAGTTAAGATACTGATAACACAACAGCCCTTTTTCCTTCAGCCCTTTGCCCCCATAACTTCCTCTGAACACTCAACATTTCAAGCCTTGATTGGGAAATAACCGCCAACCTAAGATCTCTTTTCACTGCTCTAAAGCAAAGCAATTGTGATCTTGTCATGTCAATGAGGTAAATCCAACTTAATGGGAATGTTTAGTGGCCAAGGATGAGGTGCCAAGAGCAAAGTATTGGGTTGGCAGAGTTTAAGCTACTTAATAACATCCAATGCCAACATTAAGTCAGGAATCGCTGGGCATTTGGTAGAGAATTATGAATTAAGGATTATAAAACTGGCATTGAAGCAAGGGGCTTAGCCAATGGGGAAGATCCTACTGCTCCCACTTCGCTTTGAAGCCAGGCCACACATGGCAAACTATAAACACATCACTTCCTGGAGAAGATGCCAGGCCGCTTTGACTTGAGATCAAGTGCCCCAGTGTGCATCATAAACATCCAGCAAGTACACAACCTCTGCCAGACTCCTCTGCTCCCCAAGCAGCACAAAGACCCAATCTCCGCTTTCCCCTGCAGGCAGATGAAACGAAGAGGATGGCTTGGGTGGATGAGCACACCTTCGTTTCCAAAGAGAATTGAGATGAATTGAAAACACTGACATGCTACACTTCCACTGCTGGCACTGGACGGAAATGCCAAACCCTCCTAAGAAACTCCTGCCCAGAGAACACCCATAATCACTTCACTTCCATTCTTGACCCACGTACAGTATGCGGAGCTCAGTATGCCAGTGTACCTGTCCTCAACAGAGTGACATTCCATGAGATACTGTTCCCAAACACTGGCCCTCAAGTCAACAAACCGTCCCTCACACATTTCCCCAATACCTCCGGGATGGGGACGATGATTCTATCTGCAGCTGACACGCACTGATGACAGCGTGTAAGACCTGGCGTAGCTGAGCAGTCTCACTAGGGAGAGAAAATGAAACATCAGGTTCCTCCCCAACAGCACTCAAAACTGTGCCTGCTCAGGCTATTAACTAAGCCATAGTCAAGCCATAAATCAGCTCTGCCCTAATTCCATTCACCTTAGAGACTTTTAAAAAAAAAAAAAAAAAATCAAGCTATAACCAGACTTTCACAGATTCTAATGAGAATACTTTTATTGTACACATATCATACACACAACAATTATTTGGGGAACATTTACAGGCAGAGTTCAATTCCGAATCTCCGTTTCACCCACACACACACCGTCCTGCACACTCACCTTGGAGCAGCCCAACAGGAACGAGACACAAACTTATTGCTTTCTGAACAGAGAGCTTCAATTAAATAGACTCTTCCAAGCCAAGAACAGAGCCCAGCATCCTCTTAATCCTCAATACCCTGTACATATATGAATAAAACCTTACAGTGCATTATAGATTACCCCATCACCATTCAAAGTTAATATTAAAATTGGATCACATGTCTCAAAAAAGTTGTAAGAAGTGCACCAGTATTTACAGACCCCATTAAATTATGCATAAATAAAATCTGTACACTCAACACACTGTTTCTTAAAATACAGACCCTCCACGGGGACTTGGGGTTGGGGGGACAGGCAGCAACAAATTGCTTCGTGCCTACCCTTTTCAAGTTTACTCGAAACATCTGAAATAAATATGCAAATAAAGCTTCAGTACCTTAAAGGAACATGTCGTTTCAAAGAACCTCCCATTTGAAGAGTTAACTTTCAAAGGTTTTTGTTTGTTTTTGTTTTAAAAAAAAAAAAAAAGGACAGGGCAAAAATCATCAGCAGGCTTGGTTTCTACAAGTTTCCTAAAACCAGAAGGCCCCCTTTGAACACGGGGTTTAGAGTGTGTCAAATATCACCTATTAATTAGTTGCTAAGCAGATAGACCCTTTACCTCCTACCGGAAGACTTGATCTCTGAAGAAGCTAGATACACACTTTTCTTTTTTTCAAGGTAAATATT